GGACTCCTGCTCCATACCTTCGCTGCTATGTAGACCATCGGCGACCACGCGTCCTGAAGACGACGGGGCATTGGGCCTACCGGATGGCGAGATGATAGATGGGGGTGGGGGGGGCTTTTTTAAGGTGCCCCGGCACGTTAACGGTGTGATCCAATCACTCCACCAACTAAGAACGGCCATGCAACACCATGATTGCGTGTGCACTCCAAACGCAGAAGAAGTAGACTAGGTGATGGTGATGCTTCTGTGTGGCCTTGAAGCCTGTACAATTGCATTGATTGATAACCAAAACACGCAGCTGTGTTTCGCCGGTATCTCTGCTTTCCTTCATTGTATCGTAGATTGTGCAGTTTGCCCACAAGGGCCATGTAAACCCGACATACACGCGCCCCGGCATTCATTACGGGTGCATGGAGAAAACTCCTTGGGCTTCAGACGGATAGAGTTCCTCGTCTTACATGATACCCCACACTTGGATTTGGGTTTTTTGACATATTTTGCGAATTGTGTCTTCACCTCACACCTCCATCCACGGTGTCAAGTGGAATTGTCCCAATAACCGCCGGCCTTGACTGAGATTTTCTCCTGGCTGTATTTATCCAGGAAGGGGAGTACAGTAGACGAGATGGACGATTTTCAATGTGTCATCAATCAACCCCGGCAGCAGCCGAAAACAGAGAAAAGTGCGGCAGGCTCATGAACGACGCCGAGTCTGCCGCTGGGCACCCTGCTCTAATTTCGTTGATTAATGTAGTCTAGTCTACTAGACATGTTTAGTCTAGATGTGGATGGCGAGGCGGAATCGAGACAGACTTACAGACGATGTAGCCTTGCATGTGCAAGTTGCGGCTCTTGAGAGGGAGAGGCTGCTATTTTATGTGTGTTTGTGCGGAGTACGAGTGTCAGTTTTTTCTTTTTCATGTGTAACTGCTGACACAGCAGCCGCGGTACAGCAGTAGTAGTGCCCCGCACCCTTTGGGCGTGCGGTGGAATACGAGGTCGAGAAGTAGTAGTCTGTGCTCACAGACCAATGCCAATAAATATGGAACATGAATGCCGCAATCATGTGCTTGCAAGCACTGCATGCACCAGAACGAAACTTAAACTTTACTCTGGATAATTATACGCCCACCCATTTATACCGACGCTGATCAGCTGTTGGGGTTAGCCCTCCGAGTGTTTTTCACGGCCGTTGCGTCCAAGAATCGATTGTAGATACATACGCACAACGGATCGACCGGCGCAAAACGGAGTACTTTTGTGATTTGTAGGCAGCAGCAGGCAGACTACAGCTGTGACAAAAGCTGTATTAGTCTGTTGCTGCTTCTGCTGTAACAAGATATCGACGTCCGGTAAAATACTCTAGAGTTATAATAATGCGTGACAAACGTTTTCTCTCCCAGGTACAGCAGCAGTAGTCTACATACATAAAGAGTAGCGGCGGGCATTAACAACCACCTAAGCCACCTCCCGCGCCAAAAGCTCGTTCTTCGACAGTAAAACCAAGTACGAAGATATTTAGGTATCGAACGATAGCTAACATCACCACCCATTTGTCCCAAAAAAAAAAAAAATCGTCGTTAGTGACGAGGCACAACTGTTTCCGTTTGCCCAAGTTGAAGTTGAAGTCTTGAGGGTAAAACGGCCCGGGGAGTATTAACAACCATTTTGACGATTGGTTAATTGCGGGGATTTGAAACCGTTTCAAGACCCAAGAAATGGCACAAATGCTCCTAACACAAATGTCGTGAAGAAAAATCAAGCTTTTTTTTTTCGGTGGCACCAAGGGATGAAAATTGGATATCCCCGGATTACGGACGCAGATGTGGGGGGCGGGATTTGCCTCCGTTTGCCTGTACGGTGTGATATGTGCATCGAAAACGAATAAAAATAATACCATCAACGGGTTGCCCCTGTTAATAGCCGACCACAAAAAAAAATCACACCGAAAGGAGTTGTTGCGGTCAAGAAATAGTTGTTCAAAAATGGGTATATTTTCGGTACTTTGCGTGCCGCCACGGCAAGAATCAGCCCCGTACACCACTTACCCTGGATAGTCTATTCTGGACTGTTCCTATATCCCCACGACATAAAACTTGGAGGGAGCATTCAGACATGAATGAGAAACATTGATCGCATAAAAAAAAAAAGGAGGTCACCCGGGGACAGAATCACGACATCCCCGGTGTTCGGTCAAACGCCCCCCGCCGCCCCCGCCCGCCCCATTGGCATGCTATAACGCCACCGTTGCCTACGCTACCACCAACAAGCAACGTACAACAGGGTGCGTATCGACTCCACGTAGAAACTGACGACTTTTGTAGCTTGATTTGTCCTACTCAGAGTGTGGTAGAAAACAAACCAAGGAGAGCCTCATAGGCGGCTACACGTCAACAACGGGTGTCGGCGTCCGCTGCCGTCCAACCCGGGACAAGGAGGGTGCCGGCTGGCGAACGGGCAAAGCCGCCCCTTGTGCTGCAGCCGCTCCTTGACCACGGCCAGGTGAGGCCCCTCTTCCAGCCCCTGTTCGGCCGCGTCACCCCCCCGCCGCCCCCGCGCCCTCCCTTGCCCGGTAGCCTCACATCCCTCCCCCATTCCGGGCCCCCCTTGCCCTCCTCGCCCTCCTCGCCCCCCGCGCCCTCTTCCACGCCCAACACTAACGCCGCGTCCTTCAGTCCCCGCCCACTCTTCCTTCTTCCTTGCGCGCTCCCTGCCCCTCTCCGCTTTCGCCTCGGCCTCTCCCTTGTCTGCGCGTTCCTTTGCGTCAACCTTTGCCAAGAATTCCTCCGAGTTGGTGTTGCCTCCGTCGGGAAGGCCCAAAGAGCCCCGCGAGGTTGCCAGTTTCTTGGCGCGCTTCCTCTGAGTCAGGAGACCGCCGAGCATCACCGTGCCTACCTTGGGTCCGATAATGGTACGTCCTCCCGCCTTCAACTGCCTCAGGCCCCTCGCTCCGATTGCCTCTTCCAGCTGCTCATGGGTCATGGCGATGGGGACATCCTCTAGGGGTGGGCGCCCGGTCGGCCCCTCTTTCCTCTTCGCCGTGCCCTGAAGCCCGGGCGGTAGTGCTCGATCCATGTCCACGGGCCACAGCGCCGCCCCGCCGAAGGATGCTTTGCTCCGCTCCGGTGTAAAGCTCCTTCGCCAAGCCGCCGCGATCACGCCGGGCACGTCACGCTTCAGCGATAACAACCCGCCGTTTGCGTGGTAGTAGTCTTGCAGCACTTTAGTCACCTCCTTCTTGAAGGTTCCGAAAGCGACGACGTCCAACGGCTGGGTGATGTGCGACGTGTGGGAGGGCAGCTGGAAGAGGATGATGTTGACTTCCATGGCCAATTTGATGACCTCGTAGCTCACGTGTGAGGCATGCCCATCAAGCACGAGGATGTGCGGCTTTCTGTCGAGCACGCCTCGATCGTCAAGCTGCTTGTGGAAGTCCTTGAGGTACTTGATGAACACGTCGCCCTGCATGAACGAAGAGTTCGCGCACGTGTACCTCGCATCCTTCGGGCCGTTCCTCTCGGCGAACCAGTCAGGCTGGAGTTGCTGTCCTTTGAAGATAGTGGTTGGCGCCCACGTGGCACCGTTGGCGCTGTTGGTGGTGACCACGGTGGTGTTCTCTCGCGAGTTGGACAGCATCGACTCAACCACCTTCTGCTCTGCCTCCGCGAAGGCCTTCATCGTCTTCGTGCCTTGCAGTGTGGTCCCTAATTACACCCGCGAGAGAGGTAGCCAAATCGCGCAGGTGGAGGTCGAGGGGGGTGACCAGCTACGGCAGATATAAAATGCAAAGGTGTACACACACATGGAACAGGTGCGAGGGCGCGCAGCACAGGTGAGATAGAGNAAGTCCTTGAGGTACTTGATGAACACGTCGCCCTGCATGAACGAAGAGTTCGCGCACGTGTACCTCGCATCCTTCGGGCCGTTCCTCTCGGCGAACCAGTCAGGCTGGAGTTGCTGTCCTTTGAAGATAGTGGTTGGCGCCCACGTGGCACCGTTGGCGCTGTTGGTGGTGACCACGGTGGTGTTCTCTCGCGAGTTGGACAGCATCGACTCAACCACCTTCTGCTCTGCCTCCGCGAAGGCCTTCATCGTCTTCGTGCCTTGCAGTGTGGTCCCTAATTACACCCGCGAGAGAGGTAGCCAAATCGCGCAGGTGGAGGTCGAGGGGGGTGACCAGCTACGGCAGATATAAAATGCAAAGGTGTACACACACATGGAACAGGTGCGAGGGCGCGCAGCACAGGTGAGATAGAGCACAGCAGTACGTACGTACACCACAAGGACGCCCCGTAACTTGGAAAATTCGGCCGCACACCAGAACTCCGCAAGATATTGACATGCCATCTTCGCGGTCTTTGAATACGAGCTCGCACAGTGCAGCTTCTACTGATACCACACCATTTAGTCTAGACTAGACTAGTCAACAAGTACATCCTCACCTGTCTCGTCAGTGTTGTGCACGTGGTCGGCCTCCGGCTTGTGCTCGTCGAGGAAAGCTGCCCACTTCTTGTAGAACTCGACGATGCGAGGCTCCTTGTCCTCGGTGATTCTGTTTGACTCGTAGATGCGAGTCGTACGCTCCGACACCCGTGGGTGCCTCTTGAGGAAGCCAGCTATTACGGTGGAACACAATAATCAAGACCAAATTGGGCACTTCCCATTCTCTCTCAAAAAAAAAAAAATTCTGTCAAAATGCTCTCTCCCGCGAAGTTGATAGAAAAACACACACTCTTTTGCAACTTTTGCACGCAATAATCGAGCAACACACACACTGGGTGGGTTCAACAGAAAGCCTGTTACATCAGCTGTCGAATGGCGCTGGTTTCATGCCCATCGAACAGTCACAGCATGAAGTGAACGGTGCCAAAAGCGGGCACTTCATGGCAGCAATTTTCAAGCGGGCATACTTGTTGCGGTTCGGGAAACAAATTAGGTTCTAAAATAGAACCTAGCGCAAACTGCTCAACATGGCGCGTACAACGCCAAAAAAAAAATTGAATTTGAGCCGGCCGTTGTAGAGCAACTATTATCTAGGACTAAAATTCATATCGATTTGCTGATGGTTCAGCTATCGGTGGGGCGATAAGGCCTATCGTCTATCCAATCGTCCATGGCGTGGCTATGTACATGCCTGTAACAGCACAGTTGTTTCTCTAACCACACAGCAGGAAATGTTGTTGCTGTTCGTAGCTCCTTTCCGATGCAACACCTACGCTGCTTACCGTGGGGTCGCGTGACACACGCACACACAAAAGCACACAGCCCAAGCCAACGAACTCTGTCCGTGCATTTTTTTTTTTTCGAAGCAGTACAGCAGCAGTGCGTATTTCCTTGGTGACCCTGACGAAAATGCTTGAATGTAGAGTACACCCGCGCCACGTCCAAAGCACACCATCTCCTACAATGCAAGGCAAGAATAACCATTCCGCCCTTGGCGGTACAGTAGTGTTTGACAGTCGTTGCTGTTGTCCTCAGTTGAAAACAGTTTCGGCCTCTATTATCCACGGCTGTAAGTTTTGCGTGCAAACTCTCAATTTGCTATTCTGCTGTCCCATTACTCAGTCGGTAGTAAGCCGTTTCGGTGTCATAGCATGCGTACATGTAGCCTGGGTCAGTTTTTTTTTTTGCTTTTGTAGCCTTCGGCAGTGCTCCCCTTCCTTCCTTCTGTGCTCGTACCATCTGCCATCCGCGCTTCAGTCGTTACCTGGTGCCCTTTTTGGCAACCAAGCGATTGCGCATCACGGGGGGGAGGACAGCAGTAGCAGTAGTGAGCAAAGCGTTTGTCGGTTTCCACCCGTTGTTAATTTTGGCGCATGTCCCTATAAACCTAGTATTACGGTGGAACACAATAATCAAGACCAAATTGGGCACTTCCCGTTCTCTCTCAAAAAAAAATTTTTTCTGTCAAAATGCTCTCTCCCGCGAAGTTGATAGAAAAACACACGCTCTTTTGGAACTTTCGCACGCAATAATCGAGAAACACACACACTGGGTGGGTTCAACAGAAAGCCTGTTACATCAGCTGTCGAATGGCGCTGGTTTCATGCCCATCGGACAGTCACAGCACGAAGTGAACGGCGCCAAAAGCAGGCACTTCATGGCAGCAATTTTCAAGCGGGCATACTTGTTGCGGTTCGGGAAAAAAACATTAGGTTCTAAAATAGAACCTAACGCAAACTGCTCAACATGGCGCGTACAACGCCAAAAAAAAAATTGAATTTGAGCCGGCCGTTGTAGAGCAACTTGGCGTCCACGCCAGGCACCTGGCCAATCCAGCATCCACCATGACCAAGCGTGGTAGACGGGTACCGACAGGAGGTACCAGCGGCCGTCCACCTAAAGCGATCAAGGGGGCCAACGCTGCGGCCGCGAGAAATGCAAAGGCTATGAACAAGCGCCTGGATGATATGGAGAAGAGAGAGGCGGCCACCGCCGCTGCCGAAGCAGCTCTCGCGGCCAAGGAAGAAGAGGTGAAGGCCATGAAGGCGTCAGTGGCCAGGGATCGGGAGAAGCTCGCGCGGGACATCGCAAGGTCAGACGTGCTTCAACAGCAGCGTGAACGGCGAGAGCAGGATCGTGTCAGCAAGGCTGCTGAAGCGGCGACTTCCAAGCTTCCCCCTCTCGCGCTGAAGTTTGTCGAGGACTCTGTGCAATCACTGAGGCCCAAGACTGGCGAGCTCACCACCCTGCAGCAGTCGCGGATTATTCTCATGCTGTACTTCGACCTGGTGAAAGGAGGCAGCTCTGAGAACCACGCAAAGGAGCAGGTGAGAAGCAAGAAACATGGCTGTTGCGTACAAATACCAGTATAGAGACGCATGTCGTTGTTACGTTTTTACAGCAGCAGTGCCATGTACTTTTTTGGTACAAATGTATGTATGCATTTACATACATCCCACCCAACATTTTTGTACAAGCAACAACAGTGCTTGGCATCATGCCAGTACCGCTGCCGGCCCATATCTTCGCATTGCTTGCACTGCTGTACTGATGCCCATTACTGCTGTACAATACTTGAGTGGTATGTATAACGGTATGCTGCCAGCTGTACAGCAGTGTATCAGTACAGCAGTTACAGCGCTTTGTAGCGCTGAATGTAAAGGAATGTATGTGCATGGCACCACCATTCTCCTCGCGTGCGCTGTACGTTGTCTACACTCTGCCGTCCCTTTAACACCGGCTTTCGTACACCAACGCCATACACTGCAACGCAATACACTGCTGTATTCTTACAAACTTTTTCCCACCCTCCCTCTGTGTGGATGACCCATCTTTATCAGGTCGCGAAGACCTTGAGGATCGGTACGGACAAGGTCCTGGCGGTTCGCACACTCTGGTATGACAAGCAGGAGTTGTACGAGACCAACGGGAAGGGGCGAGGCAAGGCCACCGGCGTCGACGACGGGCGACGTGTCATTACCAAGGAGCAAGAGGATGGACTGCGCGAGTTCATCAAGGACGAGCACGAGGCGGGACGTCAGGTCTTCCGCCGTACCGTCAAGGATTACTTGGAGTGTTCGTTCGGATTAGAGATGTCGAATCGTGCCGTGGGAGGGTTGCTGCAGCGCCTTGGCTTCAAGCGCCGTAGGGGTAGGATCAAAATACCCCCGTTGAACGAGGAGAGGAAAAACCGCATCCGCCTCTTCCTTGTTAAGATGGACCTCGCGAAGAGGGCCGAGGACGCTGGGGTCGCAGTCATTGTGGACATGGATGAGAGCTTTGTTCACCAGGCGCATGGTTCCGCGTACTCGTACTTTCCTTCTGACGATAAGGGGGTTGTGCAGGATGGGATAGGCCGTACAACGGGGAAAGGTTTGCGTATGATCATGGTGCATGCGATCACGAAGCACGGGCCCTTGGCCGAGCTACAGGAGGGATTTCCTATCCGTGAGGGTTGGTTCAAGGCTAAGGAAAATCGTGCGAAGAAGATTAAGCCTGGGGAGGCGGATTTCGAAATGTCAGATGAGCAGACAGCAGAATTTCTGTGGCAGGCCAAGTTGGCAACCGGAGATTATCATAACGCCATGACGGATGGGATGTTCATGCAGTGGTTGAAGCACCGACTTACCCCGGCCTTCGATGCGCAGTTCAAGAACAAGAAGATGTTTCTCGTTCTCGATAACGCCTCATACCACCACTGCTTTGACGAGGAGGTTAAGGTGCCCGAAACCAACAGTAAGAAGTACAACGTCGAACTCTTGCGCAAGTACGGTTGCACGTCGTTCAAGGTGACGCGTGAGTCGGAGGGTAAGGCTGCTGAGTACAACTTTGAGGTCCCGGCGCAGGGGTCGCTACCCAATGCGAACCGCAAGAACGGCGTCAGCAAAGAAGAGATAGCCTCCGTCACTCGGACGTACTTCAAAAAGAATTTTCCACAAAAGCTCGAGGAAAAGGCTGAGACGTACATGAGGGAGAAGGGGTGGGGGTTAATTTGGACACCGCCGTACATGCCGACTTTCCAGCCGATCGAGCTGTTCTGGCAGCACGGCAAGCATTACGTGAGCATTCATTTTGAGAAGGGGCGGAACATGTTGGATGTGTGGAAGCAAATCCGTCTCGGTTGGTATGGAGACCCGGAATGGGACGGTCAGGAAGGGGGATGGAAGGCAGCCAACTGTGGAAAGTTGGTGCACCATGCCATTGGCAAGATGGACGAGTGGATCGGCCTGTATGGTGGAAACCTGAGCGGTACGATCGGTAGCCTTGAGTATCCAGTGGCAGAGTACCAAGAGGCTACGGCCGAGGATGAGATAGAGGATGGGGTGGTTGAGCAGACGGATGAGTGGCTGGGTGAGGACGCGGAAGATGCCATTGAGGGCTGAAAAAAATGCCAAAAATAAAATGCCAAAAACAGATGCCCTTTTTTGGGCCAATATTTTTCGACTTTGATTCCAGAACAGCGACACGAAGGTGCTGCACAGAAGGCGCCATTCTGAGTGCAAGCTGACATATTGTTTGATATTTCGCAATTGAGATGGCTGTATCATCCTGTTCAATCAATATATGGATCACTTGTGCAAGCCCTTGGGCCAATCGTTGGAACACCGCGCTTCAATATTTTGGGAACTTCGCCGGGTGCGATCACACACTAATTTCGTAATATTACTCGAAGACATGGTGAATTTTTTTTATTTTATTTTTTTAGAAAGAGAGCTCTGTGCTTTGTCGCCAATTTGCGCTATAGTTTGTGATAGGGGACTCCGAATTGACGAAGTTACACAATTTTCCAATTTGGTCTTGACTACTATGTTCCGCCGTAATAGTTTGTTCGAAAAAGCACGTACGTGCGGGAATTTGGCGGGACCGGAGCGGCTATTTGTATGCATTAGGTCCAAGTTTTTACTCTTCGTAATTGGTTGCAGCCAGTATTTGCAAGCCCAGAATAGTAGGTTGAAGTCTGGTGGTTCACGTATATTGTTGAAAGCGTATGTACGCCTGTGCATCAGGTAGTGTAGACTATTTATTGTTAGCATCGACCGCTCTAACCGGGTGACCAATGAAAAGACGTCAGTCTCAGTGCGGTTGAAAACACAGGACATTTGAAAATGCCCTGAACTGGGACCCCGTGAGGGGGCGGCATGGGGGAGGCTGCGCTGTTCTCCGGATTCAAGACAGAAACGTTGTAGCAGCAGAGGAAGAGTGCACGTGTCTACCAAGGCCACCTTGCACCCTAGTTCGTTTAGTACGTTCACCATCATCCTCCTTGTTTTCACCACCATCACTCGAATCGTCATTTTCTGCTATTTCTCGGCAAATATTCTCTAACCCAGCGTCGATTGTTGTGGGGAAGGCCATCTGGCTCGAAATTCTTGCTCTCTTCCACTCCATACTTCCCTCCTCGATTGCTGTTTTGTTTGTTCCCTTTTCCTCCCGCTATCTCTCCTCCTCCTTCGTAGCCACCAAAAGAATTCCCCTCAGTGCCACCATCATCGCCTTGGTCTGACCTACTCCCTTGCATGAGGTATCACACCCCCTGGACCAATTTTCAATGCTGATTTACTCCACGAAGAAGAGCATGCCGAAACCAAGGGTATATTTTCGGGAAGCTCTCGACGACACGGTTCCAACGCCGCCATTTTCGGCACCGTCATTTATTTTCCCGCCGAGAAATGGCGCTCCGAAAATCGGTCCAGGGGGTGTGATATCTTGTGCAACCGACAGTACTGAGATCCCAACCTATTGTATGTGCATGCGTACTACAGTACGCCAAGGCTCCTTCGACTGCTGTGTTTCGATGTGGTTTCCTGTAAAACTCCTGATCTGATGATTGAATGACGTGGCTAACGGAGTTTCGGAGCTCTTCGCGTATCCCCGTGACGTTTGGTTTCCCTCTCTTTCTCTCTTTTTCTCCCTGTCTTGGAAAGTAAGAAGGCTGCCCGTTGGAGATAGTTAAAATTCCAAGGCAGCAGTCGAAGAACGGTGCAGTTAGTTACCATTTGCTACTCCGAACTATTTTGTGTTCACTTGAAAAATGGACCGAACCAGGGCCGTAGATTTTCAGTTGGTTCTCGAAGGTGTATGCATTTGTGCGTGCATGTGTACGCTTGCGCTTAATTATTCAACAACGAGGTTACGGACCTCCGTATCCATTCCTAGTGAGACCTAAGGTTCCCTTTCTTTCTCTTACAAGTATGAACCCTCACTGCAAGTGAGCGGCTGTTCTGCCCGTGCGAAACATTTCACGATAACACCCTGCCGTAGGTTGCTTAAGATATCACACTCCCGCCCGATTTTCGAAGCTCGATTTCTCGGCAGGGAAATCGGTGAGGGTGCCGAAAATGGCGGGAGGCGTTGGAACAGTCTCGTCGAGAGCTTTCCGACAACGTATTCTTTGATGTCAGCATCCTCGTCGTCGTGGAGTAATCAAGCTTTCAAAAGTGGTCCAGGGGTGTGTTATCTTTCGTATGCGACCCACGGTGGTCAAAGGCATGTTGTTGAACGTCCTTTTCTCTACAGCGCGTTTCATTGCGGTCGCTGAAATGCGTTTGTAGTAGCGAGGGGGCATTGTTTTTTTTCGCCCGCTCGCTCTGTGGCGAAGCACAATAAAGACATGCACATATACTCTTGGACGACATTTTAAATGTCTGCTGGTCATCATGGACCTCCTCGTACGCAGCTGCCTTGGCCAGGGGAAGATGTTGCACCGCTGCTGCTGCTGCTGCTGCTGCTGGAGAGATGAAAATTTGAATACATCGTGCGCACACACCTACACCTCTCGAGCATCCAGCTCCGGTGCCCACTGATTGTACGCTTACGTTGCGTGCGTGGCCTATCGGCGATCGTTGTAATAAAAAAAAAGTAAGACCCTGTGCAAGGCGGTGACCAATCTATTGGTTCTTTTTGGCACTTTGCCAAGCGGCGGCTCTATAACGTTTTTCCTACCCTACAGTATCTTCTATCCAACAACCGAAGCGACGGTTGCCCCAGCTGTGGGGGTCTCCCCCCGAACACGGCGGATCTGCGTGACCGTGCTACGTAGTGTCGCTTCGCGGCGCGGCCGGGCAACCGAAGGCTTTTTGCTGACTGCCTGAATACAGCAGCAGTAGGTGGCCCGATATAGTGGCTTCAAAATCTCTTTTTTGGTCACAATCTCAACATTTACATGAACCCGATAGACTGTCGAATAGTGGCCTAACGGCCCTGAACAGTGGCATGTTCTCCTATTACCCCAACATGCCACCATTTCGGGCCACCTACTGTATCGGCATGATGCTGTACCACGGGCATGAAAAGCCACTTCCCCCCCTCGTGCTTCTCGATAGAGCTCATGAGTCGCCATGTTCTCCTCTGTTTTCGGTCTCTGTCGAAGCTTCTTCCCCCCCACGAAGGAGGAGATACATGACAAATCATCACACTTTTTTTTTTTTCCCCGTTCACCCTCTGGACCGTCTGTGTTTCCATTGCATCACGCACCCCTCGGTACAATTTCTGAAAGCAACAGCTGGGGTCACGTAGGACGATGGAAAAGGCCATACAGGAGCCGTACATCTTAAGACAAAAAATGCATTCCCCACTCCCGCTGCTGCTGCTGCTGCTGTCCGGCAACCAAGCTTAACAGGAGGGGGCCACGTGCGACAGATATCAAATGCCGAAATGCCTATTCATGAACGCGGCGGGGCTCCGGCAGAACAAGTTCCGATCCCGGATGCTTCGCGCGCGGTGAGTCCCCTTCCGGCGGTGTTTTGTTTCCCCCCTTGTCGTGGGCGATTTTTTCCCTACCGACGAAACTATTCGGACACTGGAAGGTCGCTGGTTGCGACGGTGCCGGTTTTTTCGGTAACGCTTTGCAGGAGGCGTAAGAGTTTCCCCGCAAAACCAAACCGTGCCACGAGAGGCTCTCTCTGGCAGCGCCGATGCTGGTTGTCTTGGTACCGTTTTTCCGTAGGCGTGATGTTTTTCCCCGGCGGCACCCGGCCACACGGTAGTTTTTCTGGTTGTGACGGTGACGGTTGTCATGTGATCGTGTCTGGTGCACTTGAAGGTGGCGAAGGGGGCAAATGTTTTTCGGTGTCTCTCTTGTTGCGACGGTGACGGTTGTTTTGCGCTCGTATGTGGTGCCTAGCGGATGCGAAACAGAGCTTCAGAGTGCTCCACACTGCTGCCACTGCTGTTGCCGGCGCTCGGTCCTCGCCGGCTGCCATTTTCGCTACCCCGGTGCAAGCGGTACAGGAACACGGCCGGATTTTGGACGACCAGGTTTTGTTTTTCCTAAACAGCAGTAGATTCTTGCCCCAAATGGACGGCAGGGTATCTGGAGGGCAAAATGCAGCCTCTTGAGCGAGCTTCATCCGCAAGCGGTGGAGCATTTTCTCACACCGTTACCTAATTCCTCGCTGTTCTCTTTTTTTGTTTTTTACCGCCTGCTCTCGATGGTCTCCGTCTGTGGCTGGCATGAACACCAGGAGCGGCGACGGGGGGACGTGCGGGGGGATGAGGAGGAGCCGCTCTCCTGCTGCCCGACGGAGAAGATGACGACGGATGCCAACCCGGATGAGAGACAGCAGCAGCAGCAGCAGCAGCAGCAGCAGCAGCAGCTGTCAGGCTTACTACGAGGCTGGGAGCCGCTCCCCCGCCTGAAGGAAGGGGACGTCACAACAGACGCCAACCCGGAAGAAGACCGGCGACGAACAACGCCGGTGCCGGTCAAGCTCGTGACCTGGGGCTGGGCGACCGCCTGGCTGTGCGCCGCCGCCGCCCTGGTGGGGCTGGTGGTGGTGGTGATGGGCATCGGCCGGAACAACCCTCCGGTGGACTGGTCGGCTTGGACAGAAGGCGCCCGGTCAGCCGCGGCGGCGTCTACTACCGCGACGACAAGCGCGGGTGACCCCCCCCCCCCGCAGTGGCGGGANCGGAACAACCCTCCGGTGGACTGGTCGGCTTGGACAGAAGGCGCCCGGTCAGCCGCGGCGGCGTCTACTACCGCGACGACAAGCGCGGGTGACCCCCCCCCCCCAGCAGTGGCGGGAGATTTCGCGGGGGGTGGAGGAGAAGGGGCTAGCACGGCTAGGAGAGGGGGGGGGGACGGAGACGAAGCGGCGGGGCAACCAGGGGGAGTGCACCGGCTGGTGTCCGATTGCGCGCGGCAGCTTATGCTGCCCGGGTTCAGCTGCGACGAGCCGGTGCTCCAGGACCAGTACCGGGTGCCCTTGATGGAGTCCGGGAACGCGTCCTGCGGGTTCGAGGTGCGTTAGTCGGCGTAATTGTCTCTCTCTTTCTCGCTCTCTCGCTCGCTCTCTCTCTCTCTCTCTCTCTCTCTCTCTATCTCTCTCTCTCTCCCTCTCTCTCTCCGTTGCCTGACGGGTACACACTAAACCAAATGACACCCGCAGGCACAAAATAGCGCTCCCTACTTCGTTGCTCGGGCACACTGCCCTCTAGTACATGCAGCAACGATGTTCCTTGCCTTAGGTGTACAACTATGACCCTGTTAGGGGTTGAGTTTTAAGGCTCGATTGCTTCACTTTCCAGCGGGTGCCAAAATGAACTGTTAATACGCATGTTCGGAAAATTGTCGACGAGATCTTTCCAGCACAATATTTCCTTCTTTTCGCCACCACCGGTTCTTCTCCTGTGGTCGAGGTTCGAGCCCCGGTCCGAAGCGGCATGACGTGCCTGGCCAAACACGGTATTGTACACATACATCTCTGACAGCAGTTGCATCGCTAGCGTGTTCATTTTGCACGGACTTGCTGGATGCAGACGAGCGCAAGCATCAATCCTATTCGCGGGGAGAGAGCAGACGTACAGCGGTACACGTGTCGGTATTTTAGCTGCAACCTGGCTGGACCCGCTTGGCGCTTCGCGAGGGTTAACCATACGTTATTCATACACCATGTGAAGTAGAGAGGGAGGTTTTCATATACCTACGTAACCCAAGCTTAATACCCGGAAGGCAAGGCTGCTGACCTTGCTTTTGTTGTCCCTCGACCGTTCTCGCTCGCCGCCCCCCAACCCCCCCCCCCAGACCCTAATGCCGGACGAGAAACTCTTGGACTTGGCCTTAAAGTACGAGTTCCTGTTCATCGGAGACAGCACGACTCGCAGGCTCGCGGAGAGCTTCGTGTCGATCGTGTCGGGGCGGGCGTCAACCCACCCGGTCGTGCACCACCGCATCGACATGTCCAGGGGGGACCTCAAGGTGAGAGGGAACTCGCAGCACACGGGGTACGTAGGTCCCTATCACGCCCTGGATATCTAGCGTTTGAGAAAAAAAATGCTGCCTGAACTTGTGAGCTCGCAGCCCACGGGTACCTTGCGAATCCATCACCCATCTGAATTGATAGGTTATAAAAAATGGGTCAACCTCAACGTGTGAGCTCGCAGCACACCGGGCACCCGTATCCCATCTGAATTGGTTGCATCACAGGGTATTGGATTTGTCACTGGTACGTGAGGTACCGTAATTTTCGGAGAGATGGGTTGGGGGTGTGCACTATGGCTTGCTTGCCGAAATATCGACCATCATCATCGGAGAACAACTTCCGTGCAATAGTCGCCCGCGGG